CTTCTCTTCTTCACCTGATCGCTCGAGCCGGGCGCGTTAGCCCAACCGTCCACGGACCTTCTGAATCTCCTGTTGCAAGCTGCGACGACTCGGCTCAGGGTCGCAGCGAATGGTCACATCGTTGTAACCAAGAACGTGGCACAGCCTGACAACCTCACCTGTGAGAAACTTGGTGCTCTCCATCCCGCCTTTCTGCTTGGTAGGGATTGCCTTGAGCCAGCCGGTGTCACGGTCCTTGACGCACAGCGTGATCCATTTGTTCTCAGGATCAACCTCTCTCCCAGTAATCCCAAAGTCAAAGGAGAGAACGGACACGGATCTCTTGGGATCAACTGTCTCAACAGCCTTGTCACTTCGGGCTTTGCGCATCTCCATCACCGGCACATCTTTGCCATCATCGTGTTGCTTCTCCTTTTCATCATCGCTTGCAAACAAAGCATCAAGATCAGGAGAGCCTGGCATCAGTTCATCATCGTCTTGTGCATAGGCAGGCTTGTCCACTGGGGCTGTCACCTTAGCAGAGGCTTCTGCTCCGGATGGCACGACAATGCCGAGCTGTTCAACACCTCCTTAGAAGCAATCGTCAGCAATGTACGCTCGACACCGTCCTCAAACTGCTCATCCAACACATCTAGCGCTGCAACGCTTTGGGACATCTCAGACAGGTCCCAAATGCTGTTGGCACGGTTCACGCAAACGAGGGTGGTGCGGCACCGCATTCCCTCTGGGCAGGTAAAGTCCAACATCAACATATGCATTAGACTCATATTTGAGTCCGTACACTCCTGGGACCAGCTCTTTCAAAGAACTCCGTGCCATTGTGCACCATCGGTTCAAGCACAGGAGATAAGGAAACCACACACACACACACTTTGCGGTCATCTGGCTTGCATGTCACAGTCCTGATGCTGCCTTCAACAACAAGACTGCTGCGCCTAAAGCGCACCGTCACACGCCGCGAACTCTTAGTGAGCACAAGCTGTTTGTTCATGTGCTGCACACTCCAACCCGCCTTGTGCAGCTTCCCGCACGCAAGCAGCGGTGACGTCACATCAGCCACCAAGAACCTTTCACGGAAAGTCACACCATTATCAAGGATGACCTGTGCATCACGCCAGCCATAAGCCTTCAAAGGGTTTCCTTGGGTAGCAGAGAAGCTTGCCGGCTGATTCACACTTGCCTCATCGCCGACTGCAGCGTAGGCATGCGGCAAGCAAGATTCATCGGCACCAGAATCCAGCACTACCTCAGTCACTTCATCGACTTGCAACTCGCCACCATGGGCGAAACCAGCTACACTTATGGATCCTTGCACCGGACATGCTTCATCTGCACACACGGTCCACTCAGCATCGTTGTCTACACGTGACATGTCATACCACGAGACCTTGGCTGGAACATGCACATGGCCTGATTGCGCTTGCGACGTGGGACGTGATTGCACCTGCGTGGGACCCGATTGCACCTGCGTGGGACCTGATTGCTGATTGCACCTGTGTCGGACGTGATTGCACTTGCGACATGGGACCTGGTTGCACTTGCGACATGGGACCTGATTGCGGCCTGATTGCACCTGCGACATGGGACTTGATTGCGCTTGCACGGGACATGAATGCACTTGAAATCTCACCATCGAAGTTCGCATCTACTGCAACCAAGTATTGACGAAACGTCCACCACCAAGCATGCCACCGGCTACGTTCATCATCGGCTTTGTCACACTTGAATGCCTCCGGCTTAGGCAGGATCTTCAGGAGATCCCGGCCTTCAAGTCCTGCTCTGGAACTAGCTGCGGACTGCGCATGTTGCATTGACTGCATGGCTGCCGCAGCAATGGTGGCCGCATTGGTCGAGGCTTCGATCATTGCCGACATCCTGTTCAGCACAGCATCAAGGCCTGCGCTCGTTTGCGACGCTGGGCTGACTGGATTTGTAGCACAAGGCTGCAGCTCAGGCAGATCATCATCAATCTCAGGCGTTGGGACGGCAACTGCTGCTGCCTGTGCAGCGGCCTGTGCTGCTGCTGCATCTTGATCCATGGCACTACTGTCGGGTCGGTGCCACCGACGTCTGCAGCTACCCGCCGGGCTTAGCACTTAACACCAGACCACAAGTGAAGTCCTGATCCCTTGCACAGCTTTGAAGTTGAAAGCAGAAGAAACCAACAAGACTTGTCACTGCTGCGTTCCTCCATTATTTGTATGGCCATGGATCGAGCTTGTTCTTCCTTGTTCAGTTGGTCGATAAGTTGATGATGCGAAGCTTCATTTGTCACCCGATAGTGCTATGCATTAATCTGCGCGGCATACTTGCCCGCTTCTGCGGCGTGGATTTCCGCTTGAGCTTCACTCCGCCCGTTGTGCTCCTCATCCTTGACCAACTTCAGCCTGTTGTTCACCACATGAAAAAAGTGGACTCAGCAGAATAATAGCTCGCTCTGACCTGTAAATTCTCTCTGGCCGTCTCGTTCAATTCAGTCGTGAGCTTCTCATACTCCCTAGCCATGTTTCACACCTTGCCCTTGTACTCGTTGTTCCAAATGTAGGTAGCTGCTGGCTGCTTCACTGCGTAGCTGTCCAAGTTAGTTCGACAACGACTCTGCAAGTTCTTGGTCACGAACATGCTGATTCTGGCACATTTCTTCAATCTGCATCAGCGCGACTTCGTATTCGGTCTTTGACCCTTGATGCACTTGGTTCATATGCGCCATAGCTGACTGTAGCACGTTGCGTTGGCGTTCCAATTTTTCAATTCTCGTGGCGGATCCTTGGTCCTCCTGCGTCATCTCGAAATCTTCTGCATCACTTCATGACGGCGGAGTGTGTTCCGGGAGGTGTCTTCAATCGGCAGTCCTTGAAGTACATCGCCACGGTGGCGCATTGCATCATCCAAATCCGCATGGGGCTCATGGACGGGCTCCGCAAACCCGCATAGAGCGATGATTGCACCCTCGCCAATGGCGACGCGGGACATCCTTCCCTACCCTGTGCAGTCCCAGACCGCAAAGATCTTTTCGAAGAGCTTCTTGAAGATCTTGCCCTTCTCTGTTCTGGACTGCTTGGTTCACGATCTCTCACTTTCAATGTCGATTGCAAACATTGAACTACCTGCCGAAAATGGACGTCCAAAGCGAAGAGCTTGCCTTGCTCGTGGGGATATTCGGCGATGAGGTTGATGGCTTTGCCTTTTCCTCTTCAGTGGTAGTACTGTCAACGGACATCGCCACGGGGTCATCGGCAGTGGACTTTGCAGCTGCCGGTAACGCAATCTCGCCGCCCCCAAAAGTTCATTGTCGTATCTGCACTTGATCTAGAAGTCATCATGAGTGAAGATGATCAACGACCAGTCTCTTGTAGGCGAAGCCTACGGCTCATAACCTGCGTGAGGGCTTGTTGTTGATGTTGTCTTGGTAGCTCATCTCACCGAGCGTATTGACATTGATAGTGGTCGCCAGTTTTTGAGGTAGAAGTTGATGTCTTCACTGCTCGCCTACTTTCCGTTGCAAGCACACGCACTCACTCTCTTTTCACAGATTGCGCTCGGTCGTTGGTCTGTGCAACGGGAATCTCTCAAGCTCTTGGATCGGACGCGGACAACTGAGTCGTAAGCGTTTGGCCTATGGCAGTTTCTTGAGCCAAAGTTGCGAGTAAGGCGGAACACTTCAAAGAATTTGCAAGGCAGAAGTGTAAATGAGTTGCTGGTAGGTCACAGTCTGTCAAGCAGTCCTGTGATACCTTTGAACATGGTCACTCTCATAGCTCTTATCGTGTTGCCCACGAATTGAACGAGCATCGAGGTCTCTTCGCACCTAAAGTGTCCTGACCGATTGACACACAGCGGCTCAGGGCATCATGCCAGAAGCGACACTGCGCACTGTGCTATTGCATCTCGCAACCACAACGTGACTCGGGTCAATTGTGCAGCTGGTTGCCAGCTGCCGTCGCCACAATGCCAAACTATACAGGTGCCAGTACAAATCTCTCTCGGCTGTGCTCTTGCACTCACTCCCTTATTTCCACCTGCGAGGGAATAAGGAAACAGAAGTGATTTAGACTTCAGATATTTAGCATTCGGATCTTGTCGGCTGCAACACCGCCGTGGCTGGTACTGACCAGGCCGAGACTTCGTGTTCCCCAGATTCGAGAGTCTGGTTGATCCCAGAAGCTTGTTTCACTGGTCGGCGGAATGAACAACAGCAGGTTCCTCGTTGCTCAAATTTAGGCGCAATCTGCAGTTCGAGGACAGTCGAATCACAGTCATACCCAAACTCGCCTGACTTTGACGATGAATCTGCCGCAATCTCCAAGAGCGATGAGTTTGCTCTGAATCCAGAACCCCACAGTGAACAAAGACTTCCCCAGAAACCTACGAGTATGCTGAAGCTCGTTAAGCACAACATTTGTGGGTGGTCCTGTGTTGAATACTGAGATGTAAAGCGTTGGTGGAAACCGTCGCTGAAACCACCAAACTAGAAAGTGGGCAATCCGGCGGCTCATCTAATACCATGACTCATGGCCCCTGCCGGACTCGACAAGCTCTTGTATACACTCTCAACTTGGTGAGACTTGTAGCTCGTTCGAATCTTCAACACGGCAGTCCAAACCTCCAAGCCCAAAGCTTGTAACTAAGTTTCCTAGGTCGAGTGTCTACAACTGTGCCTCGAAGGCTTGCGAAGCCAAGGATCTGACAGACGGGCCTCCGCATCGGGCATACAAAGACTCCGCCCTATGGTGGTTTCCAGGATCGAGGACATGAGTGCGGCTTGATCATTCTGTGGATAAGGCCGTGTTCCCCTGCATCCTTTGCAGACACACCTCCTTTAACAGACTCGCTCCTCCGGACCTGGCAGACCGAGGAGTGCCGCAGGCTGCAGTCCCTGGGTGACCGTCCGTGTGTGTGTGTGTGTGATCAAAAGCATCTCACACCCAAAGCAGAGATCAGCTCAGCACCTCGCAACTGCTTGAAGCCCACCACTGTCAAGAACCCACCTCATCGTCTCATCACAACCAGGCTGAACAAACCTGTGAGGTAAACACCAGTGAATGCCCCCGCGTAGCAATTAACGTGAAGTCCAAGTTCGAGAGGCATTGAGTAAGCTGCCGCGCCTGACTCGAAGACGAGGATCCTTCTCCGTCATCATCTGGGGACTCGGTGTGCCGTGTTTGTGTGCACCCACCACGTGGTGCATACTGCTGGTGGCAACAGCTAAAAAATACTTTCCTTAGCAGCAGCACTGCTTCACATCACCCTCCAATAGTTCTCAGCTCTTGGAACAGCAAAGCAACAAAAGAAAACATTCTGCAGCATGCCAAGCTGCCCCTTCCCCGCGCCACTCAGCAGAGTCTTGATGATGTCGGGTGGCACCGGATCGATGGTGTCTCCACTCTCATCGGCAAAGATGGGATGACCCGTATGTTTGGAGCAATTGCCGGGGAGCTCCTGCCCATTCCGTGCCCCTTCGCCCCAAGCCGATCACGACGCCAGCAGCCCTGAACTGCAAGCCCAAAATGTGCAAGCTCTTGCAGAGAGTCCATTCTCCCGCCTTGTTCTCACTCTCCCGATACCTCACACCACAGCGCTTGCACCGTCGAATCTTCTGCTCCGCCCGCTCTCTTCTCTTTGCATCGCGCTCCAGTGCAGAAGGTGGCCACTGCGTTCCTGGGTCTCTGTTTCACTACTTGTACCGCCCTGTTTGGGGTGACCCCGTTCAGACCGACTAATCTTCGCAGATTACCGGCAAGTCGGAAACTCAAGCCTCCAATGCTACGAATTTAATCCAGGTTCTTTCGCGAAACAGATCATAGAGATACGCATTCCGGATTATAGCCAGACACCAGCTTTCACCTGGGCCGCATCCACAACGCCAACGCAAGCGCTAGAACTAAAACCTTCCAAACGCACGCCCTACAACCCTCCTTGGTCAAAACATATGCAGGCATGTCTTCCACGGCCTTTCGTCCTGGGAAGCCTCAAGCCTTGTTGCCATAATCAGAAGTGGGCCTTGCCCAACAAGGCGGTTTAAGTTTAGGGTTTAGGGTTTCACCAAGACCCTTGCAAGGATTGCACTGCCATTGACAGTTAGCGAACAGAAAACAATCGAAGCTGAATCCAGGACACGCTCCTGCACGTTTGGGTCCAGGTCCCTGACATTGCCGCAGCTGCGAACACTTGCACGGCAATCATTAAAGGCCGCAACTGCAGCGTCGAATAGCTGCCGGCTCCCGATGCTGTAGCTCTTGGAGCTCATGCCGCCAGCGCTCTCAGAGAACTGTAAACTTGCAAATGAATCCAAATCTATCACCAACATGGCTCGACTTCCCCGGGCAAGAACTTGCTTGACATCTATTGAAAACTCCTCAAGGATCTTCTGTTCGGTCGTGGCTCCATTGTTGAGGATGTAGGTGGATGTGTCAGCAAACACGAGGCGAGATAACTTTCTCTCTTGGGCAATCCACGCAGCCTCTTGCAGAATATGTTCGTTGGATATCCACACCTCTTTTCCATCATCGATCTGCTCATCATCGCGCCTCAATTCCTCGTAGAGGTGAGGCTTGCTCTTTTTTAAGTCTGATTCAGAGGGCTGCCAGAAGCCCTCTAACCACCTGCTTTGTTGCATTATGCTGTGCTCGCTGCCATCTGTGCATAACTTCACGGCACACCTCTCGCAGGTCTTGCAAAGCGGGCGTAGATGGAATCCGAGAGCATCTAAATTCCGGGTATTGCCGCGTCGACTGTTTCGAGTTACTTCAACCTCGAACGTGAATCTGGGGCCAGGTCGGATCAACATGCGGCCAGTCGCGTTTTGGACTTGATTGTCTGCTTTCCAAAGCGCCGACTTACTTGTCCACAAATCCTTGCGATGTCTGTTGCTCGCCATGGATGTGTCAGAAGCCAGCAGCTGCGCCATGGTTTTACCCCCGACCTTCAGATTGAATGAAGCTGATATGGTGTCGAGCAGATGTGCCAAAGTCGCTCTCTGACCATCTGTCTCACGAATATCTGGGCTTGCCGATCCGCCCTGATCCGGAATCGGAAGGCTAAACTTGCACTGGCCAAAAAAATCGCACGTTGCCCCTTTCCGGAAATTTTCCCACTGCTGCAACAAGCCATAGCACAAGGCGCAAACGGCAGCTCCAGAAAAGTTCATCGTGAGTTTTACCATGTTCTCCCGAAAGGTCGTTGAAAAGAAGGTGGCCGTGGTAATTGTGGTAATCGTCTGACCATTCTCATGTTGGTACTCAAACTTGTCTTTAGAAAGAAGATAATCAATCAGGTCACGTCTGCTATCACTGTCAGGAAAACCAACATAGATCTGGACAGGAAGCCGCCTCTGTATCGGAAGGTCAATGGCCTCACGGCGATTTGTGGATCCAATCATGACAAGGTTTTCTACATCATCCCCGCCGCCGATCAACCCGAGAATGGCAGCGACCTTGTCCGCCCCGTGCTGGTTACCACCACCGCTGTCGTCTCGCTTCGGCACGACAGAGTCAATCTCGTCCAATGCTATGAGACATTGCATGTGAGGCATATGTCTCGCCCGGGAAAAAACCTGTCGAATCAACTCTTCGGATTCACCTACAAGGCTCTTGTTAAATTCTGCAGCCATCATCATGGACTCTACTGGGAACAGGCCACATCGGTCCGTAATCGTCTTCACAAGCTCAGTCTTGCCCGTGCCAGGAGGTCCAAAAAGCATCAATCCCCGATGCGGCTTCCCTGTCACGCAGCAAAACGGAAAAAGAAACTCGGTTCTCAATTGCTTCCACACGGGCTCGTTCTTGTATTCGGCCCGTTTGGAATTGATGCCTGCCTCGACGACATCTTTGTCCAACCACGGTATGGTGGGCTTCTCCTTATTCAAAAATGCGAAATATCTTCGCACTTGATACAGCTTGGCGGATATCGCGTAGTTTGTTCTGTCCTGCACTGCTGCTCGTGCTGCAGATGCTACGAACAAACTCTGCGTTGCTTGCCACGGCAGCACCTAGGATTATAACAGTGAAGACCTCAAAACAGTAACATTGCATGATGTGGCATAAACAGTAAGAGCATCGCTACGTAATATTCAATACATGTCTGTCTGTCTGTCTGTCT